ACCGGCTTTAAAATGGTAGTCACAACGTTAAAAATTATTTTTCCCACTATTTATACGCAATGAAAGATCAAGATTACGACGTCGGATTAAATTTAAACAACATAGATAATTATTCTCCAACTAGTGCTAACCGTAAACTAGCGTGCATGGTATGTTAGCCCGGTCGGGTACCGTCGCCCTCACAAACAATGGAAAAAAAAAAGGAAATTAATTTCCCATGGACTGCGTTCGAATTCTCATGCACTTTACCCCAATTATGGCTGCCATGTAGTCATGAAATCTGTCCCACTCACTGTGCTGCAATTCCGATGCATGCATCTCGTAATCCGCATTTGGCAGCTCAACCTCGGCTGCACCTTCATCCTCGTCTGCTCTCGTGAATGCCTCGTCCACCACTCCTGCTCGTCGGAGAAAATTATGTATACCCATCGTGGCTACGACAACAGCAACTTGCGTTGGGAACAAGTAGCTAGGCATGCGGTCTAATATTTTCCATCTTTCTTTTCACACACTGAACGCATGTTCGATGACGTTTCTGCATGATGAGTGTCTGAAGTTAAACTTCTCACAACTGTTACGAAATTGATGACGCCATCCCGTCCGCTAATCGCAATATTGTTGGAAGTGATACAGTATGTCCGAACCTTTGTACGGGCCATGTACCCGGGCCGATGCGCAAATCCTTAGTCTACCAGATAGTACTTTCCCAGTCTTGGAAGCGAGAAATGAATGTCTGGCGAGTGGATGGCACATGCAAATAGTTGAGCATCATGCGTATTCCCGGTGTGCCCCGCTAGTACAAATGTGAAACATAAATTGAAATCGCATGCGGCCAGCACATCTTGGGTCGACACTCCTTTTCGTCCTATGAAATGCACGCGCTCGTTCCGCGGTAATACTGCTTTGACATGTATCCCATCAACGGCACCAATGCAGTCTTCGAACAGTGGGTACTTGTTCAAATCGGGTTTGTGAGGCCATAAATGGTCGTCATAGTTATGACTCAACCGGATCAAACGCGTTGACAGCGCGACCACAGCGTGTAGGACCTCTTTCATGTAGTGGCAAACGATTTCGAGCGAGTGGTTGAATATCATATTCACTTGCCGATATCCCTTCCTATGTGCTAATATGCACATGAACATTCCCACTTGCTCGTATATGTCAACGTGCTGACTGCTCCGCAGGCCGTGCTCTTCCCGCAGGACATGTGCAAAATATTGCAGCATTGGGGGATACATACGAAATTCTTGAAATCACATCTGTCCATTATCGCTCATTGCCTCCATCATAAACATGCAACCGTTCCTCGCGAAGGGAAATCGGTGGATACAACGTCGATATGTGCGATAGTATTCACGAGCGTCGCTCCCGACGATTCGACAATACGATAACGATGCTATTGCATCAGTTGCCAAAGAAGTCAGGACAAGCTCGTCGTCCTCCACGTCGGAATGGGTCTGCAGAACGCAACTAAAGTTATGATCTCTCGAGAGGCCAAACATTCGCAATTTCTTTAAAAGGACAATCGCTGTAATTTAATCCTTGCAAATACAATGACGTACTCACAACACCTCTCAACTTCTCACTTTGCTCTGTCAAACTTGATTCACAACCATTTATAGAACTTGTGCATGCCTAGTACCATATTACATGCACCTACTCCCTGGTTACTGCTAGTGCTGTAAGCTTTGCTATTGCACATTTTAACCCAACAACAGTGATTGGCGCTAAATTTTCGCATATTGCCATATGCTTTTTGTAAAGTTTGAACAGTGGCAGTTGTTAAAGTGACATGACACATTTGGCATGATAGGGAGAATTTGGACATGTGACAACGTACTCCACTTTTAGTTTGGCCATGTGGATGTTTCTGGAACCGCGTGGTTTTTGTATTTTACTTCCATAATTGAGTGTGAAACGCATGAATAGATTTAACAGCATATAGCATCTTCGAACACATAATGAACAAGTGTAAGAAAGTGTGCAACGAAAATACAACAGTTTTCATACAGACGGCAAAGAAAAAAAAGGCACACAGTCACTTACATTGTTACTTCCCACGGTCACTGAACATCCATTCAATCCACTCAAATTTCGCATCTGCGTTTTTCATGACGACAGGCATGTCATGGTATCACTTCTGGGCTAGAAGCTGGCATGCGAAGAAATAAAGAGGTGTCCGTCGCTCGAGGCGGCCTGTCGCTAATAGCTCTTGGACGCAGTCCGTCCAAGTAGTTTCATTTGAAGCCATCATTGTATGAATCTGTGTCGCTATTTCCTTCGCCGCACTGGTAGCGCAGTCTACTAAGAATGACAATTCACGAGCGGATATCTATTTCTTCCTGGCCCTACGCTGCCCGCTAGACGACTTTCTTTTACTGCCACTTGTTGTGCTCGAAACGTTCACGCAGTCACCAACCCCCGCCTGTTCGACCTCATCGCTCGAACCACTGCCCTCTCCGTCCACCGAGATTGCATCCCTAGTGTCCTCGAGCTCACTATCCTCGTACATGCTGAAGCCCGTTTTGTACAACTTCGTTGGAGTCATAGTATACTTATCTCCGTCGTAGCGGTCGTCGAATAACTTACGGTACTTTATGTATATCTCGCTGACGTCCTTGTCCTTGAAGTCTTTATAATCCTTGTTCTTCTACATAGCACAGGTTCGACAATGAGAGTACCATTATGAAAAATAATTCGCCATATGGCAAAACATAGAAACAACCGATACAGAGGTGTAATATGCAGCATAAAGTTAACAACAAGAGCAATTCATTGCATGTACAGGAATCTATGGACATTAATATTCGAAGTATCAAATAATCCCGCAAGCGTGTAAGAAACACGTTGCATCGTATTAATTAAAACGGGCGGGTTCGTAATTGTTGTGGTCGCGAATAATGCTATAGCACGAGGTTTTGCCGAAATGAAAATCCAGTAAAGAAACACATGTAAAAACCATGAAGACATATCACACAGGACACAAGCATCGAATTGGGCAAGCAAATCAATGAACACTCGAATCTAAAATGAGTAGCACTCGAATAGTCACAACACTTCTGTAATGAAAATTGCAGAGTCTCAACATTTACAATACAGTACATTGTCAAGTTCTAGCAATCGGTGGAAGTAAAAACAATTTCAAAGCATAAAGACATAAGGCAATACGATAATGTAGAAACAGAAATTAGAAAAGATGTAACATTAATTTGGCTAAATGCATTGTTCATTTTCGACAGTGTAAAGGCACAGTCCAAGGGAGAATAGGTTGTGTGATGCAAATGTGAACTAATAGACAAATTTTCCACTGGAAAGGCATTCACTAGTCATGTATTCGACTGTCCAAAATCGAGTTAAAGTGAAACTGGGAGTCCATTACCTAAATCTTCCTGTGCCACCATTCTTCAGAAGCAACGATTCAGCCGGTAGCATCATTATACTCAATCCCGCTACTGTTGACAAGTTCCGATAGACGCTTGTATGTTCGACGCATTGAATCCCAATGATTTCACAGCTGCTAGTAGGTCCAGTTATGGCTGATCACTGAGTTGAAGAGTGAGGCGACTCGTTCCCATCGTGTTTTGTAAAATAAAGACCTCAGTGCCCCTCTACAATGGCGGTCTCGCACGCAGCAATGAAAGCTCGGGTGGCTTCTGGACTCCAACGAGAGTAGGACTTCGAGGCCGTCCCCATCGCTAAGTTGGAAGTTCCGTGAGTGAAATCCCCTGACTGCGGTTTTTAACAATAGAAAAACCGGGGAAAGTGGAAGATGAAAGGATAATTTATTATATGTGTACCTATTTTCCGGATTCATCCAT